AAAGCCAGTCACAAGTCTCTTCACAAGGCCAATCACAAGTCCCTTCACATGGCCAGTCACAAGTCCGGGCACAAATCCCTTCACAAGGCCAGTCATAAGTCCCTTCACAAGGCTAGTCCGTAAGATCCGTTGATATATCGATATATTTGATCCGATACATCAATTTCGCTTTGATATCGATATGAATGAGAAGACTGTAATGATACACCGAAGTATCAATAATCACAATTCTAAAATGCCACAATACGGCATCGCGATACAAACTGTGAATCGCGATATTTGAGGGGAAGGGGGAATTATGATTAAATGTACAGTAAGTTGAAAATAAAGTAGGCCTAATAGAAATATAAGATATATAGCTTTATACACTGTACTTTTAATATCGCCTATACAGATTGTTCTTGTAAGAAATAGTTTGGATGGGGAGCATCACGGACAACTCGTACATGGCACGCATCGTGCCCCCAAACCTTCACACCGATCTCGGTGTCATGAGGAAATTGGATGCATATCAAACTTTGTCCTTTCATTTGTTAAACCACACCAGTTTATCAGATTTAGACAGGTTTTGTCTTCCTTGCCGTAAGTGCCGTTTCTTCTATGATCTCTGGTTCGGACACAGAACGGTACTCGAGCTCCGTAATGCACATGAGTGAATCTACACATACGCACGCATGTACAGTACGTGCCTACAGTGAATGATCTAGTGTGAATGGGCTCAAAGCCCAAGCTCTGTGTGTAAACAGCATTCTGGGACCATTCGCTCATTGTGTTGTGATTGGCTGTCAATGAAACATGCATACATGTGTCAGTGGGACTCATTACAGCCGTTCGTGTGTGAGCGGAAGTAGTGACAAACAATCTCCCCTGTTACTTGCAGTAGCACATATTTCACTGAGAATTTACAGCTTGAAAAAAGATTAGTACATTTTCGTTTTCGGCAATAGAAGGTTTCGTGACAACTTGCGCGGGGTGTGCTAAGTTATTGTGTCATTCATCATCGTGTAGGTTTTGTACAAGCTTTTGAACAACTTTTGGATTTTAATTTATCGAAAGGCCAGCACCAGTAATGAGGAAGAGGTTCCTTGGACACACAAGAACTGCAACTGTGAAACCGCCTTGTCGGATATAGAGGAGGTTTAACGCAAAAAAGGCAAAACACAGAAATTGACTAAAACGGAAAGCGAGAACAACAAGGTCAGGGGTTGCCAACACAAGAGGGCGCAATCACAACTACCGGCGTAACCTCTTTTTATCCCTTAAACAAAGGATATGTTCCCTGGGTAAAGGCTCCTGAAGGTGGCACTGTCCTTGACTGATAACAAGAAGACTAGCATAGGTAGTCAATGAATAAACACAAGTAAATGAAATAATAAAACCAACTATATTTGGACTAAAGGAACTACTAGGCTACAAACAAGAAAATAACACAAAATGAGGTGAAAAGGGCCTTCATTGGGGTAGACTACCCTCCATCCCTGGGAATTATTCTGCCCCAATAACTTATAGACTACTCTGTAGGAAGGTGGATCCTTCCTGGTGGCATCTTTAGATCTGTGATGAGTGCTCTCA